AATGCTTGTAATCATTCTCATTCTTTCAACAAATAATAAGTAAGCACCTATAGTGTCACAGGCATAATGCCCAGAAGTCCACACTTAAAAAAATGGGTAAATCGTGGGCCCTTTCCTCAATGAGCTCAGTATAGGCAAGTGCTGAGAACTACATATTCTTTAAACCACCTGGTCTTTCTATTTTAAGGTGGTTCTCTTCCATTTCTAGAGGTTATATCCTTCTGCTTCTTCTTTTATTTTTTGGAAACAGATAGTAGCTGCAGAAGAAAATCTTTAGTATCTTTTATTATCTTTAGTATTACATATGAAATATCTTTAGTATTCTGTATGTTTATTTTATAAACTAACATGAAAGAATTAAGGCTAAGAAGCATGTCCCGCATTTCTGTAGAAGCTTAGTATTGGTGTGAGTCACAGACTAGGAGACAATTTTTCGCTTAGCATCCTTGAAAATGAAAAAGTCCTTCCTCAGTTTCTTGGCAATTTTTCACTTTAGTTACCAGAAACTCCTACATGCTGAGGGAAAAAAAAAAAACTATCAAAATGGAGAAAGAGTTGAAATTTTAATAAATTCATAAAGGACTTGACAATGAGAGCAAATTTGAGATGAATACTGTCTTGCCCCAGTGGGGATGCTGCTGCTTTATTTAGTCATGTTTTGCTTTGAGGTTTTTCTTATCAGGAGAGTTAAGTAATGGTTGTAGGATTTAATTTAGCTTTAAAAGGAGTCATTAACCCATTCATCCAAGAATGCTGACAAACAGTTCCTTACTGTATGTGAATGTTTGCTTTTATCACTCAATTCTACTCTCACCTGTAACAGGCTAACTCTATGCAAGGAATTACATTCAAGCATTCGAGGAAATCATTTTTTAGCTAGATAATAAAGAAAATTAGGAGCCACAACTTGTAAAATAATAGACTGTATAGAGGGTGCAGACGCAATGGGGATAAAAAAAGTCTCACTAGGTTTTGCAACTTGAAATGTATAGGTGACAAGAGTCCAAATAATCTTCTAACTTCATTATGTTAAACTGAGAGGGTACTTTTCCTTGGTTTTGAAAGGGCTGTAAAATACTTTTATTTTTTGTAAATGAGCTCACTCTCAGATAAAATCCACCACTATTAAAAAAAGTATCATTTTGCTGCTCATTTGGGGTCTTAATTATTAGTTTGAAGGATTAAGAACCACATTTTTCAGATCATCAACTATAAAATGTGTGTGGGTCATGTTTTACATTAATGTAAACTTACCATTTTGTTCCACTGTTTTCCTATTCCTCAACTACTTCCAATTCTCCCCACAATTTTTAGATTTAAAAAAAAAAATTGTCTGGTGCAAACACAAAGGGATTCTTAAGCCCAAAGCAAATAAGACTATGAGAGAGTGCATATTAAATTCATTAGAAAATTTCCTTTAGTTCTCATTTCATCACCTGTACCTTGAATCCTTTGGGGTTCTGACCCTGTAGAAGGGTATTTATTGTGAGAGTGTGTCAGTCTCCTACAATATTTTGTTCTCATTTTGTGTATTTTGTAGTGAATATTGCAGGGATAAAGTATGTGGGAGTTTATTAGCTGGGAGGAGGGTGTTTAAATTACTTCTCCCAGAAAATGCAACTGGGTGTGGTTTGCTCTGTGACTAAGAGACAGTTGCTGGTATCAGCCTGGGGTTGTCTGACAGCCTGGAACAGCTGTGCCTGAGCCAGCCTGTCAGAGCGGAGTCTCCCTTGGTCTACTGTGCCAGCGACTTGCCTTGCCCTGCCCTCTTCAAGAGTTCCTTCTCTAAAACAGGGCCCATAAATTAAATCAAACCAACGCCCTGTCAATCCCAAGGTATTTGGGACATTTGCTGTTTCAGGTGAGGTTGCCAGGAATTTTGTGTGCGGACTTTCGATCATATCACATAGGTTAGACCTCAGTCCATGTTAATTTTTTTTTTTTTTAATGGATTTGAACATTAGGAGCAAAGGCTTACTGAAAGGGATGGGTTTCTGAGTAGAGTGTAATTTCAAAGCCAGTTCACTCATTTTCTGAGTAGGAGGAAGTTAGAAGTTCTATCCTGTTTAACATTTTCAGATGATGCCTGGAGTGAGTCTTTTCACTGAGGTTCAACAGAAAACCTCCAACAAGCCTGGACTGATATAAATTTTAAACTTAATTCTACTCGGAGAATGTTCTGTGTGCAACAGTCAAAAAAAAAAAAAAAAAAAAACATGGCAAGTTTACTCTCTAGCTGTTACTCCCTGCTTGCTTGGTCTTCACAGAGGGGAACTCTCATCTGGCAGGAATAGTTGTCTGTTTCTTTTCAAAATCAATTTCCCTCAGTGTCTTTCCCACCCTCATATTTATAATTACATCTGGTTCATTAAGAGTTGGAAGTCAATAGAGGATGTGCTGTTTGCCTCATGGGGAAGCAGCCCAGCAAGATGTATAAACACCGGCCTGTCTCTCGTCTCTGAGAGTTAACACTTCTGCAGGACTGAGTCTTTCCACTCATAATTTGCTTCCATGCTTATAAACCATAATTCCTGGGATGAAAAATAAAATACTATCTGTGAAGTTCTGAATATGAAGGAGAGTAATATGTTATGTATAGTTCATGGGGATGCAGGGCAGCAGACATTTTGGAAGAGGCCTGCATGTTTTGTTCGCTTCAGACCCGTTGGTCCTCTTACAATCCAAGAACTGTTGGACCACAGTTTACTGAGAAAATTGACCTAAATATCAACCAGATGGTTTGATAATTGTTGCAGTAGATGAATGAATGGTCTAAGTTAATTCCACCACCACCTCAGCCTCTTCCCACCACCCTGACCTGAGAGCTTTCTCCTCCAACCAAGCCCAAGATAGAAGATTGAAAAAGAGACAGGGAAAGACTGTGAGATTCCCCTCCCCCTTAATTCTGAGGAACGAGGTGTCACAAGAAGCATGTCATTCATGCTATTCTGAGCTTTCACAGTTGTGAAAATAGGCCTCACAAATTTTCAATGCTTAGGAATATACATCCTTGAGAAGGGTAGGCCTAAGGTAACTATTTTTATTCCCACCTTAGCTATACTATGATGCAGCCTGAACATGATCCAAGAAATGCTAGTTCACCCCATTTATAACACAGCTGTGTTTAAAATGGGGCCAAAGCTCCACACAATTCAGCCTGGCCGCTCTCTTCGGAGGTCTCCTCTCAAGTTCTCATAACCTCACCTCCGGTGTTGCCTATTCTCCCCTGAGTCATCAGTGCAACAGCAGGACCATGGCTTCCCACATGGAAAGTTCCAGCACCTTTTGTCCTGTGAAGAGTGTTGCATACAACATGGCTTTGTGGTTTTGTTAAGAGCTGTGGATATATACAGTGACATAGCTTCCCTGGATTGTATTGTTCACGAGAATGAACTTTCTCACAGACATACTACCCAAGACAAACTCTTTTTTTTTTTTATAGACAAGCCAGTAGAATATGTGTACTATGATCCAAAATGTATCACAAAATCCTGGCTTTCAGTCAAGGGCAGTGTACTTGGGGGTGGATGTGGGGGAGCTAGAAGGAGGTTAAGGTTCCCTCGGTCTTTATAATACAAACCAGATTCGAATCCGTGTGGTATTGTAACAATCATCACTGTGGTCTTACTCTTTAGTCTTTTCTGATTTCAACAGGGAAGGCGTCTTCTTTTACTGGGTGAAGTTTTCCTCTTTTCTGAGTCTTGGGTACTGTATTACCTATCAAAAGTTGAAAAGATGGAAATGTTTAGATTTTGCTCAGTTTCCACTGAAGAATTGAAGCTATCCAAAATCTGAAAAGGCCCCCTTGATCTTAAAAATTGGGTTCATTTTAGGAAGGGCTTCAAATTTTCACAAAAGGATGAGTTAAAGAAAATGATATATCACATAATAGATTCAGGTCCCTTCTCCAGCAGCCTCCCCATCACTAAACCCAAAGTTTCCACCCTAAGACGCATCCTTTGTTAAATTATTCTCGTTGATAATATTGTCATTGTGGTCTTAGCTCTACCTTTAAGGTAAGAAGTAAAAAGGTAAACACTCAAACCTCTGCTCTCTTTCTATTGCCCTGATATTTGGATAAGAAGCCATAGGGACACTTCAGCAAAATTTATGGAGATTATGTATAAACGTAAAAAAGAAAGGTAAGATAGCACCATACAGATGGATGCCTGGTTTGCTTAGTTTCTGAGAAAGCTAATTCAAAGTATAGCCTTTTCTGAACCAGAGTAATAACTTCCAGGTTATTTGAAGGGGGGAATGCCAGTGGTTGGTGTCATTTTGTCTCCTGGATTTGCTGAACTTCTCAGCAAACCCTGCTATTTCTCAGAATAAGAGAAAAGCAGAATGGCACACAGAAAGGGAGGTGGAAAGATTAGAAGACATCAAACCCACAAAACCAGGAGAAATGAAGTGTCTACAGCAAGATTGGTAATATGGAGGATTTGACTCAATACCCCTTTTTTAATGGAAATAATATTGTGATGTAAGGATTTTTATTGAAATCTTTAATAGAAGTCTAGGAAATAACAGAAAGGGTAGACTTTCAGCAGGTTATAAAAAGAATTAGACAGGAGAGCCCTCAAGGCTACCTTTGCTTACTTAGCTTTTTAGCAACCTGGGAGGTTGGCAAGTACAAAATTCTGGCTTGTTTGCACAGAAAAGGTTATCCCTCCTCAGCTAGACTCCTTCTCCTAGCCCTGATTCAACCTCTGAAAAAAAAAGAATCAATCATGTTTCATAATCATTTTCATGATTATAAAGAGTGTATTCATTGAAATGTTTCAGGTCATTCTAAAGTTATCACACCCTGTCAGAAATTTCCTGGTGAAGAAACAAAGCCCTGACTTTAGATAAACAATTAAGGAATAATGAAGATATGATAATACAAGTGGTTCAAAATCCAAGTCAAGTCCTTTTAAAGGCCCTTGGCATTTAACAGAACATCATTGTTTACAAAATGCAAAAATCAGGTTGGTGGGTTTTTTGTTTCTTCTTGCTAGATGATAACTGGCAATTCCAGAATCTGAAATAATGGGTTGGAAGTCATTTTCTTTACAACAAAATGGAGTCAACTGAAATGATAGTTCTGTCCATAAGGCACAGAATTGCCCAAACAGTCGGTGCTGGTTTTCCAACTAGCATACACCAAGTACACCATTCATCAAATCCTGGCTAGCGAGGCTGCTGTTTGCACAAGGATGGCAACATGAAGTTGGAAAGCTTTCACTAGAACTGTGGAAAATTGAAATGTCTGCCAGGTAAGCACACTTCTTTTCTTTTTATTGTGAAAAGGAAAGGTTTGAAAGGAAAAGATAACACTGATGCTGGCCACACCAAGATCCCTGAGGAAGGAGTCTGATTTCTGATTATACCTGCAAATATACTGTTGACTTTGTCAGTGTTCCTGGTGGGCACATTCAACTGTGATACCCCTGAATATCAAAGTCAAATGATGTGAATATCAGTTTATATTTTTGGCAACTGAATCACTGGAGTTCTGTTTATTTACAACATGTACTTCCTAATTTCTCACTTACATAAGATTATCCTCAATAATGTGTGAAGGCAGGGATATGGAAATAAGTAAATGATACAAAATAACCTTTGGTTTGGAATATTAAATGGACTCAGATCCTCATTTACTCTTGTGTCATAAACATTCATTCCACCATTTCTTCATTCATCTTATAGTGTATTAAATGACTTTGTCCTTAGTCAGATGAAAACAAATGTGTAGAAGGCAGAAGGAGAAGGATTCTAAGGACTATCAAAGAGGTGAATTACAAATTATAAAATTAGTTCTTGCCCAAAGGATACAATTAGATATATTTTATTAGTTTACTAAGGCTGCCATTACAAAAATATCAATATATCACAGACTTGATGACTTAGACAACAGAATCTTCATCTTTTCTTTCATTTCTGGAGTCTACAAGTCGAAGATCAAGGTGTCACATGTGTAATTTCTATTGAGGTCTTTCTCCTCCATATACAGATGGTCATCTTGCTGTGTCCTTCATAATCTACATGACTTTTGTTCTGTTTGCAACCACGTTTCTAATACCATCTCTTTGAGTGTCCACATTTCCTGTTTTTATAAAGACACCAATAAGATATCCTTAAATGAAGTTTAAAAGGTTTCATTTTTACCTAATCACATCTTTAAAAACTACCTTTAAATACATTCTGAGATACCAGAGGCTAGGATTTCCACGTGTGAATTTAGAGGGGGGCGGCACAACTCAGCCCCTAATAGATATATGAACAGAAAAAGAGAAAGTGCAACCAAATAAATACCAATGAGAGGTTGGCAAAAGGAGCAGTTCTGCCCAGAGTATTAGAAAAGAAGGTGAATCTTTAATTGATTCATGAAGGTTGTCCAAGCAAAGGATGGGTATTAGGTGGGTAGTAAAAAGAAGGGTCTCTGTGGAAAACCTCTTAAGCACAAGAAGGTACACAATTACAATCATGGATTAAAAAACAAGATTTGACACAAGAAATTTGTAAAAGGGTGTAAGAGAAAGGTGTGATGAGAGAGGCTTAAATGAGGAATAAGATAATGGCAACCTTTCTCCTCAAACAGCATTGTCCTAAGGTGATGAGAGTATGCTCTAAAATTAGCCAGACTATGCCAAACTCTGTCTCTTCCACTTTCAATTATTGCCTTGTTTAAGGTAGTTAATATTTTTGTCCTTCCATTTCCTTATCTGTAACATAGTGTCTCTGTGAAATAATCACTCAAGCAACCAATCAATCAATCATCCCTGCAGTTGTTTGAGAATTCTTTGTACTTAACTCTGGCATGTAGTAGCTGTTGAAGACCCATTAATTATCATTATTCTTCTGTCATTTGAAGGTTTTGTACTATACTCTACAGGGTATGTGGATACAATGGATGCTTTTAAATAGAGAGGTAGTTTGATAGATTTCTAAAATTTATTCTGGTAATGGTGGGTCATAGATCAAGGAGGTGAAAGGCTGGAGAGAGCATAACGACCAGTTTGGAAGCTCTTGGAATATCCCCGAAAGAGATTAAAGAGCATTACTATAGGAAGTTCAAGGAAAGAGAAGAGGAAATAGACTTTAATAATATGAGATAAACTTGACAGAAATTGGAGGTTAAAAAGCAAGAGAGGTTTAGGATGTTTTCAACATTTCTAGCTCAAAGAATAGGAAACCCATCATCGAGATGAAAATAAAGTACAAGAATCAGGCTTGGAGAGAAAGCTTATGGAACCAATTTTTGGAATATTTTTCTACTCTACCGTGTATGATCTCCCTTCTAACCAAGCTTCAGTGCCATGATTTTTTCACTGTGATCATTCCTTTGCAAATCCCCTTGGCTCCTTTGCCATCTTTCCATCCATCATGTCACATAACAAGATACCAACCAAAGTTAAGAACTCATCCTCATAACAGAAAGTTGTTTAAAAAACATTCCACAACCATGCTGTCTGGTCTCATTTTAAAATTATGACCACAATATAAAGTTGTCATCATTTTTGCCCAGAAATATTATTTTACTTCTCTTATCAATTTACCTTTCATTACTAATTCATTGATTTCTTTTCCTCAAGCATATCTGCTATCATCTTTGTGCTCAGCTGATAAAACTTGTTTAATATTACTTAGAAATTGTAAGCAAATAGAAGCCTATATCCTCATCTTCCCTCCACAGAAACATGTCTATCTGCATCTGCCATCATATACTTTGATATCCCTTCTAAAACAATGGATGGTCTCCATTTCCGATGAGACCAACCCCTTCTGTAGTGTACTACTGGATTCGCCCCTCTCCTTAAATACAGAAAACCTTTGTCCTTGCATTTAATCCTACTTTCTCCTTCATCTCTGAGCTCTTATTCATCCAAGCATCTATTGGATGATTTCCATCCACAAACAGACATGATGTAACATCTCCCATTTAAGAAAAATAACTCTCCCTGACATCAGATTTTCCTTCCAGCTTCCACCCATTTCTCTGATCCATTTGACAGTAAACCTCTTGGAAGAAGCATGCACTTCCCTCTTCTCTCCTGCCTTACTGAATGCTCCTCTCCAGCTGCATTGTTGATTGCTCTGCCCTACAGGTTTTAAATCTCATCTTTTCGATTCCACGCCCTCTTATTTGTGTGACTCCTTCCTTATGTGGTTCCTGAGGAATACAAAAGTATTTAGACACATAATTTCAAAGGGAATCAAGATAGTTCAATTTTGGACATCTAAGCACAGAATAAGTATATAGCCTCTGTAAGCAATATCTTTCTTTTGATGAAGGTCTATCTCCAGCCCCTTCTTTGGGCTTCAGACTTGGAGATCCCATCATCCATTCAATTTATTAAACTTAACAGGTCTGAAGCAGAGTTCTGGTTCTCCTCCTACCTCACACCCAACTTCTCGACAGCATTCCCATGTTAGTAAAGGCATCTCCAGTCACCAAATGCTTGGGCTACCCAGAGTCCCCATCGACTCTTCCTTTTACACCCTATGTGCAAATCTATGTCTAGAAAATTTGCCAAAAGTCTTTTGTCCAAGCATTTTGCCTCATAGTTAGTTGGCCACAGGCAGTTTTGTTTAAAAAAAAAAGATACAAAAAGAGACATTAATTTATTAACAAATTAGCAGAGTTGATCATTAAAGATTCTGTATCTAATGTTGGGTTTATGCTCATATACATCTCCTCAGAGTTCCCTGGAAGTAAAATGAATAGATGACAGATGCTGCTATTTCTTATTATATGTAACATGTATAATTGGTAGTACATATATATATTACATTTAAACGTTCCATCACATACCTAATTCTTATATTTTACCAAATAATCTAAACTAGATTCTGTGCCAAATATCAAAATTCTACCTACATTATGTTCTCCATTTTCAAATAACAAACATTTTTCACCATCTTCAAGAATATTACAGTAATCAGGAGTCATTTAAACATTTCTTTTTAGGGGACTAGGAGGAACTTGATTCTTCTGATTCCAAATTCTGATATGTGTTAGAAATTTGGTAAAGATGACATTAAAGAACAAGCTGCTGTGTCTGAATAAGGTAAGATAGCACAGTTTACATGTTCTATCTGACTTTACATGTTCTTCTTTCACTCTTCCACTAAGTTTCATCCTGTATTTTCTATCAAGTTGATATCTGGAGTTGTTCTCATCCACATCCACTCATCCTCCTCACTGTATAGACCATTATGAGAGCTAAGGTTGATGTTACATGACGATGGGAGTACTGTATCAGTTTACACCAGAGTATCAAGTCGTTATTTTATCTTTTAAACAAAATGACTTATAGTCAACCATATAGCAAAAATGGTTTGTGGCAAATAATTTATGACAAAGCTCTCTAGAACTGTCCAAATCCCCTGCAAGTTCTATTCACTCTACTTCAGGGTGTATCTTTAATTGAATCATTGGACCTGAAGCCGATAATAGAATTAAGAGTTGGAAGGCAGAATATGTGAGGTTTGTCAACAACAGGAAAATTGGAAGGAGGTACCGTAATATTGAGGTAAGAAATTAAAAGACAGTAATGATCATGTACTATAAGTATTTTCTCTGTTTTTCTCAGCCCTGAGGGCATTTTAGTGATTGGATATGGAAAGAGATCACAAATTGCTTTTATAGCTATGAAATGGTAATTCAGTGGTGAGCCCATGAATGTATTATCTTGCCTTTTCATACCGAGTCATTTTTCTAGTTTTTTGTTTTGTTATGTTTTAATTCAAAAGAGCATTTTTGTGTGAATATAACATGCAAACAACTAGGTAATGAAAATACACAGTGGTGCCTTGGAATTTCAAAACAAGAGATAATAAATGAATGCTCTGGCTCCTGAGGGACAAGACATTTGGATAAATAGTTGCAAAAGGAGCCGGGATTGCTGTCTTCTGTTCTTGGCATCTGGGCTCAAAATAAGGACCCAGAACACAGTCTAGCAATCAAGACATAGAGGCCCAGATAAGCCACCCCTACTATGTGCAACTTGGTTGCTTTCAGGTTGGTGGAATGGCCAGTTGAAGGATTGTAATTGGAAACTTTTAAGTGAAATTTACTGACAACTGCTGTCACTTGCTGATAAAAGAGGACAAATCAGTTGCATTTCATCACTTGGTATCACTATAATCCCCCTTGCTTTGATAAATCTACCCCAACAATACAAACATCCTTGTTACTCCCTGATGACATTCTCTCTCCAACTCCCTTCTCTCATTTTCCCCTCCCCTTGTGCCCTCTCTCCACATAGCCATCTTTTCAATCATAATTTAAATGTCAAAGTGTACTTCCAGGTAACTGCAAATTATCAGGTCAGTAATATTATCAGTGCTATTTGGAATATAGCTTTCTAGCTAATTCTAAAAGGTTTCTCTTTAAGAAAAATTTCAGTAAGCTTAGTTTCCTGCTGATCTTTATGCCTGTTTGTGAAAGGTCACTGGGTGAGGACGAGAAGGGGAAAATGCAGTGTTTTTGAAAAAAAATCTAATAAATTCACTTTAAAGGAATTTATTTCTACCTGCCAAGCTTCTAAGAAAAATGGGGTAGCATTTTATAGTAGGCAACAAATTATATTATTTCCCTGGTGGTGCTTGTGATAATCATATTACGCCCCAGCAGCTCTCCAGGTATTCATGTAGCTGTGAGGTGTAATTCCATAGCAACTTAGGTGCTCCATTATAATTTATAGTAACATGAATTAATATCCATTTACTATGAGGTGTTAATGAGAAAAATACATGTGGAAGCTTTATGTGGTATACTTGGGAAAAAGGGGAAGCCTTGCCTCAGTACCATATTCACTGGTAATTCACAATGAAAATTTACTGATCTGTTGTTTTATAGACAAGTAAGGTTTGCCTGAGGTCACCAAAGCTAAGGACACAATAACAGATGATGAAATGGTGGAGACAGTAAAATCCCTCAATTAATCACATCAATCAAATAGTTGAGAAGGAGCAAAACCTATTAGATAAAATGTTTTGAGGACACAGTTGATCACAGTCTCTTTTGGTACATTTCAAGTATCCTCGATGTTTCTAGCACCACATTCCATAGCCAGGGACCTACATCGCTTCTTCCTAAGCGTGCCTACCTACCCTGCTGACTGACATCACACTTGTGACTGATTTGGCAAAAGGAATGTGAGCAGAAGTGACAATGTGCCTTTCATTTCTCCTGCCATGAGCTCAGCAGTCCCAGATTGGGGGCTGTTCAACTAACTTGGACAATGAATAAATAGAAATGGAGCAGAGGTCTTCCAGATGGGCAGCCCCACAGTGAATATGTAATGAGAACAAGAAATAAGCGTTTGCTATTTTATAGGACAGATGATCTGAAGTCACCCACTACTGCAATATAGCATAGCATAAAGTAATTCAATAATACATGTTGTCTCAAAGAGGCAAAAAAATTTTGTGTCTGAAAAAGAGATGATTGAGGTGACAGTCATGTTATTCTGCTTACAATACTGAACTGAAAGCATCGGATCTTTACAAAACTCGGCTGCCAAGGAAGACTTCTTTATATTTCTGAGATTATACAAATTTCCTTTTGGCAATAAGCAATTTTTTTATCTTTATTTCAGACAAAATATAAAGAGAAGACAATTAATTGATAGTTGTGATGTTATCTGTGGTAGGATATTGGATGTAACTAAGAATTCAAAATTAGATTTTTGTATTAACAATGGAATTCACAAAGAGATTCCATTTATTTATATGAACAAAGAACTGGATGCTGGGACAATTTAATTTGCCTTTTAGGCAACAAGGATGGTGATTAAAAACTAAGGAAAGCAAAATAAATTCATGAAGATTCTCAAAGGGGAAAAAACTTGTTATTCTGGATGTCTGAGTGTGTTTATCTGAGATAAACTTTTATCTTAAAATGCTGTATCTTGGAGAAATTTTTCTACCTTTTTGGAGAAATTTTTTCATGCTTTTTCTACCAAATAATGGAGACTTCCACTGTTTTATGAATTAGCTAAAAAAGTTATGGGGAAAAATGCCTATTCCACTGTGCTCCTACAGGCATGTATTTAAAGAGATGTTACCAGACTCACCTAATATTGTTGCCTTACCTAATTGGATAGTCTGGGTGCAAATTTTCAGAGCAGTGTCTGAGGAAATAAATACTAGTCTAATATAGCAGTTCCTGGAATAATGTTATTTTGTTGAACATCTTTTAGTTATGACATTCATGAGAAAAATAAAATTTATTCCCTCCAGGGTCATGTCTGTGTAGAGTACGCAAGTTCTCCCCATGTCTGCAAGGATTTTTCTGGGTACTCTGATTCCCTCTCACATCCCAGAAATGTGCACATGCGGTTCAGCTGCATGTCCCTGTTGGAGTGCATGTGTGCACGCATGGTATGGTGCACCCTGCAATGGGAGGGTGTGCTGGCGAAGGTTGAGTTCTGCCTTGTGCCCTGAGCTCCTGGGAGAACCTCAACCCCACCACTAAACTGAATAAGCTGGTTGGGAAAATGAATGAATGAACACAAATGATTGTTGAATATTAAAAGTGGCTTTGAGTCTTTATTTAGAATATTCTGTGACCATAAATTTGCCATAGAAACTTAACTCTTGTTACATCCATTAGTGAGTGGTCAGTGCACTTGGGTTTGCATACACCTATGTTTCTGATTTATGGGTACTTTGCAGAGTGAAGGAAGCACACTGCTTGGACTGGGAAACCAGCATGAAGCTGTGGACATGCCATTGCATATTCTGCAGATCTCAACTCTTTTCAAATTAAGCTTAAATTTGATTTTCAGGGAAATCAAAGAAATACAGATCATATTTCTAAAAAAAAAGATAAATCATAGGAGTGTGGTCTTTCTTTCATAGAGAGGAACTTTAAATATTGCTGTTTTGGACCCTCTGTACTATCCCTGCAACCCAGCTCGTCTCCACTTACAGTCCTCCAGAGGTGAGGACTCAGGGCCTTCTGCCTCTGCACAGCATACTTTCTGCTGTTAGAAAGTACTTCATTCTACTTACCTATTAGCAACTTCAGTCTTATTTCATTCCTTGACCCTAGTTCTGTCCCTAGGGTCACATTGAATAAGTTTGCTTCTTCTGCACAAAAGAGCTGAAATACTTAATATCATCTAGCATGTCTGCCATTCTCAGGACAAGGATGCCTTGCCCTCACAATGTTTCCCTTCTCTAAACAAAAAAGACAATGTCCCTCTACTACTTCTTATTTGACAGGATTTCTAATTCATTTGCCATTTTTACATTCTCCCTAGAATATACTAAAGCTTGGCACTATTTCCCTTAAAATAGAAGTCTAAGAATAGTCTAAAACAAAAATGAGGCTACCAACTCTCAGTTCTAAGATAATTATCTGAACAAAAATGTAGAGAAAAGCAAAAGCATTAGTCTCTCATTTTAGATATTTCACCAGTGGACTCTACGAACAACCAACTACATTATTTATCCATGAGAGCTATTTATCAAGAAAATTCCTTAAATGACAGTTTATATGCAGGGTCCCCAAATCTTCACCATGTGGGGGTAGAGTTATGATATTTGGGACCTAAATTTTCAAACTTAATAAGGTTAAACTTTTCCTTGCCAAGATGACTGAAGAAGTCAAATGAGATTGAATAGGCAGTGATAATTACTACCAACTAAAGGCCATTTGAAGATAAGCATTAGTCATTTTGTTTTTAAAATGGGATCCACATAACCCTCTAGGACTGTTAATTCTATAGGATGGGGAGGGGAATCATTGAGCACTGTTAACACAAAAGGATTGCTCCATTCTTGATCAATCCCTCTTCCCAATATAAACAAAGCTTTCTAGACTTTTGTCTCTCCACTCCCCTTTTCTGAAAGCAATCTTGTAAATGACTGCTCAGTCATGTTCTCAAGCCTCTGGTTAAGACAAGGGACTCCTAGCAACAGCATCACAATCACCAGCCACAAAGAGAAAGATGAAGTTTTATTCTAAAAATACTCCTCACCACCTTACTTCTTACAGAATTATGTGGATGCTGACTGTGATATTATAAACATGACAGTCCCCTCAATGTGAGCTGAA